GTATTTTTAATGGGGGGGGGGGTAAATTGTGTTGTTTATATTGTTGTAAGGGTTTTTATGTAATTGATTTTATGTAAGCTGCCTTGATAGCCAAGGCTAAAGGCAGGATATAAATTATTATTATTATTATTATTATTATTATTATTATTATTATTATTATTATGTTTATTTACTGTTTTTAAAAGTTCTGAATGTTTTCCATTCAGTGCAACATGAATCAGCATTTGAACAGTGGGATATTCCATCTCCATCTTAACAACTAAAAGTTACAGTTAAAGTGCAAAAGGAATGGAGTTGTCCCTCCTTTATGGCTCCTACAAATTGGCCAAAAACCTTGGGATCTGTGGGAGTTGTACCTGTACTTACTGTGATTTTTTAAAATATCCATACACTATATGTCATACCTTGGTTCATTCTTGTGAGCTTCTGGAGCAGAACACAACTTTTTAAACTCACAACATGGAGGGGAAATGTTCTGTCATGGGGATTTCCAATAAAGGTAGGAGTAAATTCTTAATGGCTGTCATATTTTGGCCATATCATGAGAAGGCACAACTCATTAGAAACAACAGTGACGCTGGAAAAGGTAGAAGGCAGTAGAAAGAGAGGAAGATCGCATGCCAGGTGGATAGACTCTATCCAAAGGCAGCTAACAACAACAAATCTTAGGTTCTTCCTGTACTTCTGGTAGGGAGGAAAGAAGAAACACCGATGAGATGCTAAATTGGGGGGTGATCTCTAAACTTCATTACATATCCACTTATCAGACTGAACTTTTTCTTTGTCTTTCTTTTACAGTTGTAGTGCTAAAGTGGTATAGCACTTTAGCACTATAACATTTTTGCGGCGGGAATATATATGGGCAAGACAAGGAATGTAGATACAGAAAGAAGAATACAGAGAGAGCTTTTGAGTTAGTGGAGAAGATAGTAAGCAGGGAAGGAAGCCCCACTTATATCTCAGGTGACCACACCTCAAGCAAAAAAAAAAAAAAGAATGGTCAAATCCCCAATATATTTAGGCCATGATTGGATGCAGGGGCAGGAACAACAATTCCTGTGTGCCTTTAAGTCATTTCTGACTCATGGCAACCATAAGGTGAGCCTATCAAAGGTTTCGCTTGGCAAGATTTGTTCAGAAGGGGTTTGCCTATGCCTTCCTCTGAGGATGAGAGTATGTGACATGCCCAAGGTCACCCAGTGGGTTTCCATGGCTGAGCAAAGATTCAAACGCTGGTATCCAGAATTGTGGTCCAACACTCAAACCACTACTCAGTGGTTTGCAAACTTTGGTCTTCCAGGTGTTTTGGACTTCCAACTCCCAGAAGCCCCAGCCAGCTTGGCCAACTGTCAGGAACTCTGGGATGTGAAGTCCAAAACATCTGGAGGACCAACGTTTGGGAATCACTGCGCTACACTATGTTGGCTTTCATAGGAACAACCGTTATAAGACATGAAATCCCGAAATAGAATAGCCTGACAATTACTGGAATTATTGGCCCATCTGTAGGAGCCTTAAATTATAATCATAACGCGATGAATTATACCATAGTTAAGGGAATAAATTACCAGAAACTACTTTCCAACCTCTGTGAGGTGGATGACACAAAAATATAATAACTAGTCTGATCATTCACAAGCTTTGGAGCTGTACAGGAATTTCAACCCATATCTTTCCATACTAACACACCAATCTCTATATAACACTGTCTTTCATTGTCTGAGATAGCTTCGTATGTTCAATAGTTAAAAAAACTTCTGATCATTCTTCTGCTTGTTTAAATGCAATTGTGAGTCCTATTCTAAAGTAAAACCTGTGTGACTGAATAATAAATAGTCAGATAAGGCATCTCTAGAATTCATAATGAATGCTGCTGATACCTCTCTGTTATGCTGATAAACCTTACCTCTTTGGAAAAAGCAAATCTAGTTAATAAATACCTCTTATGAGCAGGACTAAATCTGCACTACACAGCTATAGCACTATCATTTCTACTGCCATGGTTGCATCCTATGGAATCCGTAGGTTTGCAGTCTGGTGAGGATTGTGGTGTTCAGGCTTTTTCTTATACTTGTTGTACTGGGTTTTTTAACTGAATTGTTTAATTTATTAGTTTTAATATATTATTATTTAATACTTTTTAAGAGGGGAGGGGGTATCTTCTATCTTTTATTGTTATGGATTTTATTGATGTATTTGTGTATTTTAATATGTAAGCCGCCCGGATTGGGCTTCCATTGGGCGGGGTAAAAATAAATTTTATTATTTATTATTATTATTATGCCTGAAGTCTGCCTGAGAACTTTAAAGGCCCTTCCCTAAATTACAAATCCCAAGATTCCATAGGACAGAACCATGGCAGTTAAAGTGGATAGTGTGGTAAAATGGTTTGAATGATGGACTAGGGCTGCATCTACACTGTAGAAATAATGTGGTTTCACAGCACTTTAAGTGTTGTAGTTCCATCCTGTGGAATCCTGGGATTTGTATTTTTACAAGATCTTTAGCTTTGTCTGCCAAAGAATGTTGGTGCCTCACAAAATTACAAATCCCAGGATTCTTTGGGATGGAGCCATGGTAGGTAAAGTGGTGTCAAACTGCATTATTTCTACAGTGTAGCTGCACTCTACCATTCTGGATAACAGAGTTCAAATTCCTAATTGGGCATGGAAATCATGTACTCACATTCTCTCAGCCTGAAACACACTCTCTCAGCCTAAGAAGAAGGCAAAGACAAACTTCCTCTGAACAAATCTTACCAAGAAAACCCCATGGTAGGGTCACCATCAGTTGGAAACTACTTGAAGACATACAACAATAAAATAGCACTATTATTGCATAGTGTGAGTGAGCCCCTGCTTTAAGGAATCCCTGACTGTGATCAGAGAAATAACATCCTTAAACTTCAAGGAATATAAGTATGAATTGCTGCAGCTGTATGCAAATTGGAAGTGAGAACGGAAATTTATATGCAGTTCTCAGAATAATTGGCTTTTCAAAAACAATTTTTTTAACAAACTGACACATGCGTGGCTGAAAATAACTAAGCTTTCTTTCTAAATCCTCTAAGAAAATGTTCTTTGTAATGTGCTTCTAAATAATTTCCCCTCTCTTAATAACATTTCCACACAAGTGACACTTGAAAAAAGAAAGTGTCTTAGTTGTTAGCTAAAATACAAAATGTTCCATTATTTTTAATTTCTGCTGCAAAGATCCACTGCCAAAGTCAACTGTAGACCTTCACATTTCTACAAAAACTCAAAGAAAAGGGTCAAGTGCACACCATACAACTATTTTGTGTTTTTCCATTTTACATTCATGGGAAAAAATGCTGCCCTTGTTCATTTTATCCCCATTCTGGAATAAATTGACCCAATCCAGTATAAATGGGTGCATTTTTGTACTGATTAAAATGGTATAGCCATACTAATATCTAACAAAATGGGAACCCAAAATGAAGCACCAAAAATAAATATTTATTGTTGTTATTCTCTACATCATTTTATGGGTGTTTTCATATAAGAATGGATAAGGAGGATCAGTCATAGATTACCCTACTAGACCAACCAGTCAACACATGCTGTACCCAGCCCCCATTGCTGAGCAGAGGAGCGGGTTAAAAATAAAACTATTATTATTATTATTATTATTATTATTATTATTATTATTATTATTATTATTATTATTATTATTATTATCTGATTGTCCATTGTAAATAATAATAATAATAATAATAATAATAATAATAATAATAATAATAATAAATTTTATTTTTACCCCGCCTTTCCATGGATATGATCAAAGCGGCTTACAAAGAGTTAAAACAGTAAAAAAAGTCAGCTTAGGGCCTGAGACCCAGACCTAGGAAGGCATTTTAAGTTATAAGAGCAGGATTAGTTATAGGGTTGGAACTACGCAGCCAACCTGAATATGGGATCCATAATTTGTGTAGTTAAGACACTGACTCTGTTGGTTACAAGGTTGGCAGTTCGAGGCCCGGGTGCTGCATGGTGCTCCCAGCTTCTGCCAGCCTAGCAGTTCGAAAGCATGCAAATGCAAGTAGATAAATAGGTACCACTTCGGTGGGAAGGTAAACAGCCTTCTGTGCAATCATACTGGCCACATGATCACAGAGTAGCTTTGGCTTAGTAACGGAGATGGGCACTGCCCTCTATTGTTGGACACAATTTGACAACCTTGTCAATGAGGAATACCTTTACCTTTTTAATACTGTATTATATGTTAATATAGTATTATATATTATATAATATAGTATTACATGGTATTATATATTAATAATAATATTAATATATAGTACGAGGGATGCAGTTGCTTAGCGGTTAAGATATCGACTCTGACAATTGCAAGGTTGGCAGGTCAGCAGTTCAAGACCCAAGCACCATGTGACAGAGTGAGCTCCTATCACTAGTCCCAGCCTCAGCCAACCTAACAGTTCAAAAACATGTAAAAGTGCAAATAGATACCACTTCAGTGGGAAGGTAACAGTGTTCTGTGTAGTCATGCTGACCACATGATCACAGAGTCACCTTTGACAATGCTGGCTCTTCAACTTAGTACAGAGATGAGCACCATTCTTTATAATCAGACACAACATGACAGTCTTGTTAAAGGGAAAACCTTTACCTTTACCTTTAATGTGGATCTATCATAGGGTTTCCTTGGCAATATTTGTTCAGAAGGGGTTTGTCATTGCCTTCCCCTGAGGCTGAGAGCATGTGACTTGCCTAAGGTCAACCAGTGGGTTTATATGGCCAAGATGGGATTCAACCCTTGGTCTCCAGGATCATAGTCCAGTGCTCAAACACTACACAATATGCTGGCTCTCCGTTATGTTTGTTGTTATTGTTGTGTGCCTTTAAGTCATTTCCAATTAATGGTGATCCTAGCGCAAACCTATCATAGGGTTTTCTCATCAAATTTCTTCAGAGAGGATCTGTCATCACCATCCTCTGAGACTGAGAGCATATGTGGGTTTCCATGGCCAAGCTGGGAATCAAACCCTGGTCTCCAGAGTTGTAGTCCAACACTCAAGCCTCTATGCCATGCTGGCTCTCACCTCCTTTTGTAAATAATGTCATTTCAGGAATTCCTCCATAAATGCTAGCTTCAGAAGAGAGATTTTTCTCAGGACTGCAGCTGAGAAGGAAATGGTTAAACTTATCTTCTGTGTGTACTCTGATTCTTTTCATTATCTCACATGGTCACCTCTGTCAATGCAGTTTGTATTCAAGAATAAATGCCCTTTAGAGTGCATCGAACATAATTGTAGTTTGGCCCTGCTAGGCCTGCATGTACATCCTTTTCTTAAAGCTTTTAAAAAGGTTTATTATTTCAGTGAAGTGATTCAGAAGTTGGCAAAGTGTGGCTCTAGGGTTGCATGCCTCCCCAGCTGTTTCTGCAACCCCACTCTCCCTGGACCTCCCTTTCATTGGTAAAAGAGTGTGAATTACCTCTGCTACAAGCATACAGAATTAGAAATTCATCTTTTTTAATAGATTCCATGCTCTCTCCCATGGACTGATTAATATTTAAGGGGGGATTAAAATCAAGCACAGACGTCTAGGGGGTTTTTCCCCTTTCGTTTCTGGACAATATGTGTGGCCCCAGAGGGTCCCATTGGCAGAAAACTGGGCCTCAGACCTGCTAAAGTTGCCCACCTCTAGTCTAAATGCTTTGTAATTTATAACCCAAGGAGAATGGGTACAGGGAGGGTTGGGAGGGGAGAGTACAACAGGAAGATAAGAAAACAAAAATTCCTTGAGGTATTCTACAAGGAGTCCTTCCTAGGAGTAGGTACATATGTCCTACTTTACAGAGGGTGGTACTTTATTTGAAGGTGCCCTCTATTTGAAGCACTCTTCAGTTCAAACTCAATTTAAGAGAAAAGAGTGATAAATGGGAGACGGTGTGCAGGCGCCTTTAAATCACCTATTACAAGATAGTACCTGGACAGCAGACTGAACAGGTACACAGTTTTCTCCACTATAGTGAGAAATAATGTATTTTTAAAAATTATTTTTTCAACTTTGCATGTAGATATATAAATTGTGCACAAGTCTTTTTTTTCCTCTTTGTTATCTGCAGACTGTGTACCTGTTCAGTCTGCTCTCTCTCTCTTTTTTTTAAAAAAAATCATAATTGGAAAATCTTGCCTGAAAGCAAGAGTGTATAACTGGGTTGGAGGCAGCAGCATAGCTTAAATGTATATGTTTTAAGTTAGGATATGTACAGTCCTAGGTAGAAAGTGATTTTCCCAATCCTGTAGGAGAGCATTTCCATGAATGCAAAGTGGTAGCAAATTTAATGGTTATGCTATATAAGAGTGTTTTCATTATTAGTGGTTAATAGCTGTATGCCATATTCACAATTATCATTGCCCTGATATGATCATCTTCTAAAACTCTCTCATGCCAGGAAAATTGAAGCTCCCAAATAGTAGGAAATGCATCCTCCATCCTTGTCATCCCTATCATTTTTTTACCTTTCCCTCAGAGATGGTTCTTCTATTCATTTTGAGATTATTTCAAAGGGTGGGGTTTTTTTCATAGATCATTGCAACCTTTGTAGGAAAAGCATTTATAGCCTGCAGTGGTTTGAAAAGCAGACATTCAAGTGCAGCTCACTTCTGTTGACAATTTAGAATGATAGCAGAACTCCCCTAACTGTGAACAAATGCAACTATAGGATTAATGGTGTCTGTATTTCTCAGACAGTATCCCAAAGGGTTAGACTGACAGAGTTGTAAATGAGTTTGGAGAAAGATTTGTCATCACAAGACTTGGGTAATATTGTCTCCTTCACACATAAGCACTTTTTATTTGAGTTTGTCCCATTGTGCCCTTGTAAGCCGCACACTGTCGCTACATTTATCTGCAAGGTCACATGTGCCTCCACAGTGCCTACTGTTTCAATTATAGAGGGCTTGCAAGAATTGTGCAAATTATAACAAAAAGGTTGGTGGGAATTGTGAAAAGTATTTAATAGAAGTGTTCCTTTTTTGTTAACATAAATTCATTATTCTACCTAGTTACTAGTGTAAATGTTTACCAGTATTGAGAGGGAGAGATGCAGGGGTATGATATTTGGTAGGTTTATATTAATTGCATTCTTCATAATCCCACCAGGGGCCTTGTCTCATCCACCTTCTGCATCAGGTTACAGGACATTTCCTTTCTCAAAATCTGGTTTGAGTGGATGGGGACAGGGGTTGCAGAGGAAAAATAGCAAAAGTGCTATTGTGCAGACAGACCTGTGCTGTATTTCCACTGCAGCCCCTGCTTGCACAATATCATCCTCTAACTTCAACATGTACACACACACACACACACACAC